TCATTGAAACAATACTTCACTAAGTCAGGGAAACAATAGGTATGCAAAACATATCTTGAATATAAATGAAAGTACCCAAAAAGTAGTCACTTTGGTGTTGAATATAAATGAACTCCAAAGCCATTGAGGAGAAAAAGTAAGTTGGAATAAGATTTGTCAAACTAATTTTGAGAATTGAGATTTGAGATGCGCATGTAACTGATTCAACACAAAAATATGAATAGATAAAAATCAGACTCCAATAGTCATTATATACAGAAGTTATAGCTTAAGGTTCCAAATTGCATGCCCTTAAAGTTACTACGTAAAATAATCCATAATGATACAGATGGAAATTAAATAATTAGTCACAACAATAAATCAAATAGACCTTCTGAGCTTTCTTTCTGAGGTTTCCCAGAGGAAGACTCTTCATTGGAAATGCACCAACCATTTCCAGCCTCTGTAATAACAGGTAATTCAACCATCTCATCAACAAGAAAATCCTCAACTTCCATTACTTCATCATCTGTTGCTGGCACTAATCTCCCATCACCTTCAACCTGGAATCAAATAAGACGTTATGAATCTAAAGAAAACAAAATAAATGGCAATGAAATTTTCGAACATGAAGTAACAAGTCCATAGTTGTAACTGCAGTGCAATTTTAAGTTTCCCCCTTAAAGAATTATGGAAAACCTGTCGCCAAACCAAAAAATGGCCTCTCATTTAATCCAAGTATAAACCTTGAATTTAGAATTGGTGACAAACTAAATCCCCAAAATCAAAGCTTTAGAGAAAGAACATATCAAATTGTAAAGCTCAAGCTTCAATTCGTATCTACTATTATTTTCTAAACTCTGATTCGCCCAGAAGGCAGGCAGCAGCCTGGCTGCTTCTAATTGTACTCATTAATTGATGGCTTGACTGCTTCTAATTGTAATTTATGAATAAAATAACTGTTAAAATCTCTTGATCGATATACAGTCCTTTATAGGCTCTAAAGCAGTATCATGAACGCCCATTACCCAAGCCTATCAAGTTATCATGTTTCTGTACAAATTTGAAAGTTAAACCAATCATAAGGAATGTTAACACACTTATACCTGGCAAAGAGAACAGAAAGAAGCGGCTTACACTCCAATTTTATGTGCACAAAACTACTAGCACCAACAGAACAGTTGAACTTTTAATGCAAATGAAACATACCCGAACGAGCTTGTATACAACAGGATCGGCAATCTGCTTTGGCGAAGACAAAGAAGAGCTACTTTTCTCAACCCCACTCTCCTCACACATCCCTTCATCATTCCCCTCAACACCGACCACTGTTTCCATGGAAAATCCACCACATGCAACTCAAATACACAAACTGAAACCTCAAAACCAAATAAACAAAAACAAAAAACAAAGTAAATGAACAAAGTTAACTTCTATAATTTTCAAAGGTAATAAAAATAAAATCTCATCCACTAAAATATAAATGCACCCAGAATTCAAAACAAATAAACAAAATTCTCCGATTCAAATACTCAAACCTGCAATTCAAAATTCAAAATTTTCGAAAACTGAAAAGAAAACAGCAAAAACGAAATTAACACTATATCAAACTACATTTCCTCCAAAGACAGCAAATTTCCAATCCCAATTACATAAAACTACATTTCTAGTGAGAGAAAAGCACCATTTCAGGCAAAACTGCTAAGTAATTCAAATGATATCACAGTAAAAGCCGAGAATTTACATGCAGAAGCACCAAAACACTAGAAATTGTTCAAAATTTTCACATTCGGAGCAAACTTGAACAGCAGATGAAGCGAAATTAAGTAGGACGGGGCTCACCATAGGACTGTGAGAATGAGGAGCGAGTTGACTCAGTCCTTGCGAGTGTAAAATTGCAAGGATAGCGACCGATTCGAAGCACGCCGGGCACTGAGTTGGGAAGAAGACGAGTCGTTTTCTGAGAGAAAGCTTGTGCGGGAAGCTTTGAGGAAAGGGAAAACAATCGGATTGGTCTGCTGCTGCACTGCGCCCGTCTGTGTGCGCTTCTGCTTTTTTGGCTCGCTTTTTTAGTACGCTGTGAGCATAATGTCGTACAGCTGCGGACTCCAAACTCTACTTCCAATGCAGTTCACAAATGGGACTTGGCGTCCGGATCACTTTAAAATTTTTTTTTTTTTTTTTCTTTTTGGATAGAAATTTTTTTTTTTATTTGGCTTAAATGTCAAACTGATCTCGATGTTCTACTCATTGCGTCAATTAGTCTCTATGTTTTTAATTGCCCGTTTAGTTATCGTGTTTATTTTCACTAGTCAATTAATGACATTCAATCCAATTTATTTATAACAATATCTATTTGATTTACAAATTTGAAAATGATAAAAGTACAAATTAGATGAAAAATTACTCTACCCCCCAACTCTGGGACATTCTCCCCTCTCCCATTTTGCTTGCCCCCCTCCCTCTATCACAACCTTAAATAATTTTCAGATTGAAAGTTTTATCTCGTATATGTATTATTTCTCATTAATTTGCATATTTATGTAAATTTAAATTTAAATAAAGAGAAAGTGTAATATATAGTTCTTTCGATTGTGATTAGTTTCTCGATTGATTATGTTGATGCACAAAATCAACGAGGACTTTGGTACAACAGAAAGTGTTAAGTTTGTGACCTTCGCTAGATTGCTCCAGTCACTAGTGTGAATAAGTATGTAAATGGATAGGGACAGGGAAGCAAACATAAGATGTACGTAGTTTATCCAGATTGGCTACGTCCACGGAGTAGATGAGTTCTCATTAATTGTGAAGGGTTTACACAAGTACATAGGTTCAAGCTCTCATTTAGTGAGTACTAGTGAATGATTTAGTACAAATGACATTAGGAAATATTGTGAGAGAATGATCTCTATTTATAGAAGAGAGTTTCTAGTTTCATTCTGACATTGACACGTGTCGTGTTGTGATTGACTTCTGATGTTGACACGTGTGGCGCTATGATTGGCTTCTGATGTCGACACGTGTCGCGCTGTGATTGACCTCCTGGTTGGAGGGAAACTCTTCTGGGCCCTTGACGGTATAACGTTGACCGGTGCTTAGTAGTTTCGGGATTGGTCAAGTATGGTACAAACAGATTACATAGTCGAAAATGAGGTGGTCGGTTTTATTTTTCTTGGGACTACAATGATGGAACTTGCGCGGTAACAAGTGAGGTCGAGGTGAATCTAGAGATGCATTCGTTGAGTTATGTGTGTGGCTAAGGTTGGGGTTTGGGTCAAGGACAATTCGGTCTCATTTAGCATTGGGGACAAAACATTTGCATAATATTGGTTCCTGTGTATGCATGTAAATCATATTCAAATATGTATGTTCTTGTCCTCAGTTGCTTTGTTTGGGCGATTATTACTTTTCTTAGTCGCCAGTGGCGGATTCTAGGTAAGGTACTGAAGGCTTCAATTTTGGTTTTTTTTTTTTGTGGGGGGGGGGGGGGTGAATGTGAAATTGTAAAAGATATTGACTAGGGTACCTTAATTTGTAAAAAAAAAAGGTTTATTTTGGTTGATAATATTTTGGTATAAAATGGTAGAAGTGTATCAATTTGTTTCATTGTTATTTACTCAAATTCTATCTTATTTGGTTAGTCCTTTTCTAATATTTATGTGAGAAAGGGGAGAGAGAGAGGAGGACAAAGATAATTTTTTTCATTTTGTATGTAAAAGGGTTGAAAACCGAACCAAAAACGTTTGAAACCGCACCAAATCAAATGGTTAGGTTTCATTTAGGTTTTGGCTTCAAACCATATTGCTTGTAATAACGTCTTTATCTATGTTTACCAATTGAGTCATACTCATATTCTAACCAAAGAAGTTATACCCCATTTCTTATCCTCGTAAAGAAGTTTTTTATTTTTCCTCAAGTTGGCCTGATAAAATTTACATTGTCGGCTAAGATGTTTTCTCATTCCAAATGTATCATTAATGCTTGAATCGGCCGCAAAGTTACCATCATTTGTATGTTCCGGGTAATAGACACATTTAGCCCTAAGTCTTACATGTGGAACTGTTACCAGTTTATCATTTCCATCTTTTACAACATTCATTTCTCGATCTTTGAGTGAGGCTTACCAGGGTCTTAACTTGAGAAGACAAAAATGTATGCGTGCATTGAAATCTGGGCCAAAAATTAATTTGTGTGAACTTTGTTAATTTTGGGCCAAAAACTGATTTGGACGTTTTATTTATTTATTTTTTTTGTTTACAAAAATTGAAAAACAGGCATTGTTCCTTAAAGGCCCAGAACCGAACCTATACTTGGACCGAATAGGTTCGGTACTAAGTTGGTACAACCATTCATACCGTACCGAAATTTTGCTATAGGTTCGGTTTTGGTACCACCTCGGTACCAAACCGTGCCCAGGCCTAGTTTAGATTAACCGTTACTTGGTTAGAATATGACTATACCCAAAACCGTCAACTCTCAGTTAATTATTAGCATATGAGCCACACATATTAGATTAAATCGAAACTTTCCGTTAATTGTTAGCATGTGAGGCTTAAATATGAGGTGAACTTTACCCTTTTAGTTATACATGTGAGCCTCATGTGTTAATAATTAATTGAGAGTTGACGAAATTTTCAATTATGAGCCTAAATCCTAACATCCTTCACCACAGAGGCTTAAATCCTAGTTTTTTTTTACCACATGAATTATTTTCCAACCACCCTACCACCACAAGAACTATTAACCCAATTAAGCCCAAACAATATTCCTATTCAAAAGGACACTTGGTACTACAGTATAGTAATATTTTTCTTCACTTGTAAATGAAAGATCTTATATTTGATTATCGCCTTCACTTGTAAATAAGAAATCTTATGTTCGATTCTCGCTAAAGACGAATTTAAGTCATATTATTGCTAACCCATTGTGAAACCTAACCCACCCTGATCTTCCTCTGGTCTTCCTCTTAAAAGATGAGGTTCTTAAGTTCACGACTCCCAACCCCATTAATAAAAAAGAAATAGAAGAATTATCTTTGAATTTGAATTTTAACCATAAGAGTAAATACAAAGGGAGGCAGCCCAATACTATTTCCCATACGAAGTTAAGATTCCAACAGCAAAAGTCGGGAGGACACAAACGCGGGTAACATACAGAGCATGAGTTGCTTTTTCTATTTGCTGGCTAAGAAAATTACAATTCTAAAGACATAATCTCATTCTCATATTCCAATCGGGTACTAACAGGCATCCAACTAGAAATGAGATTATGCGGAATATGAGAAATTAGTATATTGACTAAAAAAAATGGTATGAGCATGCGTTAAAACAACTCTAAGCAGCGACAAGGCCAACTGGTATTTCAGACTTTCGGTTGCCACAACGGGGGGCCTGATCTGATGTCGTCCTCTTTGGGTTGGTGGATGGTGACCAGATCAGGTAGGGGTGTTTTGGAGCCTTGCTTACCCTTGGGATCCCAATCGAGAGTGATTTTGACCTTAATCCCAAGAACACCTTGAAAAATGGATATACGAAAAATAAGTAAAGATAACAAAAGCACATAAGAGCCAGAATGGTGGAGGAGCTAACCTGTCTAAGAAGCACATGCGGCACAGCAGCATCGATATATTCCTTTACAGGCTGGCCAGAGGATATCATGTATCCATCCTTGAATTTCATAGACTTGGCACGCTGAGCCCTGATTTTGCCACTAACAATGACCCACAGGTTGTAGAGTAGAAAGATTCATTGTACTATGTTGGTGCAGCCTAATAAGGTCAAGTGGAAAGAACAGCTTTCATTCGCACCTTGCATCCCTTTGCACCACTTTCCATGACAAATCTACAAACGCCATAGCATGTCCTAACAAAAAAAGAAGGTAAAGGGATGATCAATAGAAGTCGACAAACCCAAATACCTAGGTAATAACTAAAGCATAATGGTTGTGCAAAAACAGATCTGTACAAGCCCTAATTATGGCATAAACCAAGCAACACAGAACAAGGAAACAGTGTATCAATATATGTGGTCAAGCCCAACAGTGTAGGTTAATGTCATAAGGACTATGGTTCTGAAAAGAACAGTACTAATTGATTAACTCAGGATTGAAATTAACTTCAATTAGTAATCCGTGTTTAATTAATTGATTCCCTTTTAATTAATTGATTCCCTCAAGCACGCTGACAATTAATGACTATATTAGGATTGGTTTTTGACCCAGAATAAAAAGTATATTAGGATTGGATAATACAGGAATGCTATGAAATGTAGGAGTTCCCGAACTCCAAGAACTACTAACAGTTCAAACAGACTAACAAAACTCCAAACATATAATGTAAGCATTCTTGAGGATCCTCTTAACCCATTATTGTATCGTAGGTAGGGAAAATGTAAAAGAATGCTAATAAATTTGACAAGATGGTGGGCACGCAATTGACAAATGTATTTTCCTTTTGCAAGACTAACCTATATCCCAAAATAAATAGATGTTAACAGCTTAACGGGTTCTCTCACAACAGTGGGCTTGGATTTTGCAAAAAGTGATAAGTCAACTTAAAAAGGTGGATCATGGATACTGAACTCGGATATTTAAACTTATAATTAGCATGTAAAACATTGGCCACTACAGCTTAAGCTTTGAAGCTGCCAAGTAACATTTCATGCTGATGATGACTAGTATATTAGCTTTGGAAAACAAAAGAATGTTATGAAATGTAGGAGTTCCCGAACTCCAAGAACTATTAACAGTTCAAACAGACTAACAAAACTCCAAACTGCAATTTAAGCATTCCAGAGGGTCCTCTTAACCCATTGTTATTATGAGTAAAGGGAGATAAAATCTGAATGCTATAGCGACTAATGTTACCATCTGGAAACAGTAGACATGTGAAATTGTTTTCTATAGAAAGAGATCATCTCTGTTGCGTGGATGTACAAACTGTACTTAATTAATTGCAGATGTACATACGTAATTATTTGTACTAAAAATTCACGAGTAAAAAAGAGTTGCAGTCTACGGAGTAACACTTTTGTTAATATAGATTAATGCTAATAGATTCCCATGAATATATACAAGTGTGCAATTTCAGGAAGCAATTCGATAGTTCATAGAGATAATGCATAAGATCTAATGATATGTTGGATACTAAGAAATTTGACACTTATCATTCCAACAGGAGTAACATTTATGTAATGCTCAATCATGTTTGAAACTTAATTAGTCGTAAATGTTTGTACTTCATTTATTTCCCTCAATCACAGTGATGTTCAATGACTGGCAGTTTAGGTTTGGATAACACATAAATGTTATGAAATGTAGGAGTTCCCGAACTCCAAGAACTATTAACAGTAACAGACTAACAAAACTCCAACCTGTAATGTAAGCATTCTTAAGGATCCTCTTAACCCATTATTGTGAGTAAAGGAGATATATTATTGAATGCTAAAGCTAATAAAATTGATATGTATGAGTGTGTGTGTGTGCGTGCATGCACGCAAGTTTGAGTTTGCGTATGTGCATTTGCGGGTGATACAATAAATGTAGAAAGAAATCGTATAAAATATAATGAGATGATGGAGGTCACATCCCCAACAATAAAAATCTCAAATGGAGTGGTACCTATGTGACAATAATTAGTGAAATGCTTTTTCTTAATTTCATTCCCTTAGTCAAACCGAGGCTCACTGACTAGTATATTAGATGCGGAAACACAGGTACGGTATGAAATGTAGGAGTTCCCGAACTCCAAGAACTATTAACAGTTCAAACAGACTAACAAAACTCCAACCTGTAATATAAGCATTCTTAAGGATCCTCTTAACCCATTATTGTGAGTAAAGGGAGATATTATTATTGAATGCTAACGCTAATAAAACTGATATGTATGAGTGTGTGAGTGTGTGCGCGCCCATGTGCGCAAGTTTGAGTTTGTGTATGTGCATGTGCATGTGATACAATAAATGTAATAGATTAGAAAGAAACCGCATAAGATATAATGAGATGATGGAGGTCACATCCCCAATAATAAAAATCTCAACAGGAGCAGCACCTATGCGACAATAATTAGTGAAATGGTTTTTCTTAATTTCATTCCCTTAGTCAAATTGAGGTTCACTGACTATTATATTAGATGCGGAAACAAAGGAATGTTATGAAATGTAGGAGTTCCTGAACTCCAAGAACTATTAACAGTTCAAACAGACTAACAAAACACCAACCTTAGGATCCTCTTAACCCATTATTGTGGGTAAAAGGAGATAAAAACAGAATGCTATTAAGCTGACATCTGTTAGAAAGAGTATTGGAAACCATTCCTTTTACCCAGACTAACGTTTATAAAGCATCTCAAAACCAATAGTCATACAGCATTGTACCAATAGGTAAAGAGATCAAGTCAGTTTTCAGCATACCTCCGGACAGCAAACCCTCCTAGAAGCTTGTAACCCAAAGACTGCCTGAGCAACGGCACAGAGCCCTCAGTTGTTGACTTTCTCTGCTTAAAGATCAACACTGTTCTCGAAAACTTAAAACGCTTCTGAACAACAGATGCCAGTTCTTATATTCTTCTTCCTTTCTCACCTAAACCCATCAATAAAAAAGTCTAATCAGCAAAAGCAAACTTATCAACTCATGTTATAGCTAAATCAGGAAACCTTTTTTTTCCCAAAACTCTCCATAAGTAGAAGAATGCCTTATCTATACCGAACCTATTGTTCTGTAATTTTCCTTTTAAGAAGAAACATATTCTATTGCAATATCTATAGTAAAGAATTCAATTCCGAAACAATTGAGTTGTCGTGAAATCTTCACTGCACTTAATAGGGTCCACATATTTCTTTCTTAAATAATCTCATCCTACGAAATTACTAACACTGAATCTTCACATTTTCTTATGAATTGCGCATAACATCAATAATTGAACTTCGGGGTCATTTCCGAAGCCTTATCCTCAAGTAGATAAGCATATCAGTAACCAAATCAATTCGACTTTTAAACTTAATAATCTCAACATTGAAAAATTGGACACACTTTTTACCAAAATAAAATAAAATATATATATATATATATATATATGTGCAAGCACTAGTATCAGCCTTGATCTTCCATTTTCTCAGGGACCTAGCCAACAAAATATTAAAAAGATCAAAGTTACTAACTTTCAGCTAATTGCGTAGTGTAAATCCACATAAAATCTCATATTCAACCAAAAATTAAAATAAATAAATCAATGTCATACCGAGAACGTTTTGAGTCCAAGTGGCTCGGACGATGATTTCGGTCAACACCGGCGTAACCCTAACTTCAACGCCGGAGTAGCCATCCTACGCCAGATATCCGGTCAGCACCTCGTTCGGCTCCGCGAACAACACTCCGTCGGCCACAAACTGCGATACGCAAATGAAATTAGATAACAAATCGTATTCTTTCAAAGGGGTGGAAATCGTCGGAAAATTTACATTAGGGCGTGTATGGACGTCGAAACCGCATTCGTTCAAAGGTGAGACCTTTCGCTTTTTGCTAGTTGCCGCCATGGTTGGTCGGCGCCGCTTTTTGGAACGTTCGGTGAATTAAAAGGAAGAAATAAAAAAAAAACCCCCTCTGCTGCAGCTGCTTAGCAGCTTTTGTTAGTTGCTTTATTTGGAATTGGAAACCCTAGAAAGTTGAAGGACTATATAGGAGGGTAAGGGGGTGATCTGACCGTTGATACTATGAACGTTCGAGATTAAAAGACTAGGCATATCCGCAGGGTGGACAAGATCCGGTTCAGTCCGATTCACTCCTCAAATCGAAATTGGAGACATAATAAAGTTACTGTTTAGTCCACCTTGATTCAGGAGAACCTGACCACAAAAATCAAATCAATTGAATTGGTCCGGTCCGGTTAGAATTGAGGGTGGACATTTAAATTGGTGAATCAAAGTAGATCAAATAGAGAAAAATAAAAATTATTGGTTTTGCTTTGAATCAATTTGATTCTTGTTTTTTATTTTTTTGGTCAAAAGGGAAATTTTATTATATGGCTAACACAAATTTACACCACAGGCCCAACATACACTTATAAACAAACAAAAAGGCCTAAAACAAAAGTAAAGCAGAAAAAGAGCCCAACAACAATGAGGTCTAGAAAAACAGCATAGCTTCCACCAGAAGCTTCCATTGCAATCTCCACCAACAGAAACAGTTTCCAGTTCATTGTCCGATTCCCTGTTCACCGTCAAGTATCGCCTCTGCAGACGCCACCTCCAACCCTGATTGCTACTTGAGCACATCCATAAACAAGGGATAGTCAGCAACAAAGCGAAAGAAGCCGACTACCAGTATGAAGCTCGTGGAAACCCATGAGTGACACTGCCAGAACCAGCAAACAAGGAGTAAGTGGTGGTGTTGGAAACACCCGAACCTGTGTAAACACCGGAACTCTACACACGATCTCACCAGGAAACATGGTTGATGATGGGACCAAGGAAGAGCTGGGAAGAGGTTTACCCTCAGGGTAGAGGAAATAGGTAGATATAAGTGAAAATTGGGGAGAGACAATAGTAGAGGCAAGGAAAAAAAGAAAGAAAAGAGAAAAAAAAGAAAGAAAAGAGAAAAAAGAAGACACGGCAACCGACCCCCGGCCAAAGCTAGGGCTAATGCCACCGAAAAATCTTAAGTTTGAAAGACTCACAAGCGGTGAAAAGTACTCTCAGGTTAGAGATAAAAAGCTCTCACCTCGGAAAGAACATAGAATTCAATTTGATTCTTGATTTTAGCACTTAAGAAATTGATCTAAATTAGTTATATGATCTCAATCTATATGCTTATGTATAACTGAATGCTCTTATAAGTATGAGTTTCATTTTGCTCACCGCTAAAACAGTTGGAGATTACACAAGAATATTGATTAAAATATGATGCAGTTCCTTCCAATATGAATAGACATACAAATTGTTAATAGCAAGGTTTTGTACAGAAAAGTGGTAAGTGTGATAAGTTTTCTTTTTTAGTGTGGTTTAGTGGCAGACTCCTTTATTAAGGCGATATCAACTTGGCCTTTTTCAAGTTTGATGCGAGATTAAAAGTGCAATTAGGAATCCAACTTTAGAATATATAATTTTTGTTTCTTTAAGAAAAAAGATTGTCGATTAATTTGGATGATTTTGTGAGGATTGTTTTTTTAATTTAAACAACATATTAATAAAATTCTTTTTGTCAATTAAAAGAGGATGAAAGACAATTTAATCTTATACCACAAAATAAAATCATGGGCAGTTAAGTAAATTCACACAAATTAAATTTTACAGTTTTATTTTAAAACCTCACTCACATGTGATCCTAACATCCTCTAATTTGAAAAATGAAAAATAAAAATACCAACTTCTCTCTCCCATCCCACGTTCCTCTTTTTTCTCCCTCTCTCCTTCCTAAAAACAGATATTGCCACACACAAAGTGTGGGACATTGTGCTAGTAATAGTTAAGAAAATAAAATATTTTGATTGTTACTATGTTGTTGACACATCCCACGTTGAGGAAATAATAGACATAAAAAATTAAATTACTCCACGTATTATCAATTGATTTATAATGAAAATCTAAAATTTTGGCCAACAAAAAAAAGTTGTACGTTAATGAAAGCATTTATTTTAGAAATTAAGGTAAATTCAATATAAATCCAATTTTATGAGTTATTATCAGAAATAGTCCACTTCTTCAAAATAGGTCTTATGACTGTTATCTTTTTGTTAAGTTTTGATAAAAATGAAAATTTTAAAGAATTGTAGTATCCTAAATCATAAAAATTAAATTCCTTGAACAATGTTGCATTTAGTCTTTTTAGTTATTTAATAAACCTATATCATAGATTTCTTTATTGATAATCTACCTATATAACAGATAAATCGCTTTTTCGCTACCTATATATAGATATTTTTTTTTTCTTGTAATCTACCTATTCAAATTAGTTGTATTGAATTCTGTCTTAAATATTTTTTGCTTGGAAAATTTTGTAGTCTTCTTTATGATATGACATACGTATGTTATAATTGGACTCAATTTAAAAACCAATTTGGATTTTTGGACATGGATATAACTGTCCCTAGGAATTAACTGCTCCTCAATGGTTGAGGAGGAGTTTCTCCTCAATTAACTTCGTGGCTGATTTACGGAACTTCAAGTTTATGATCGAAACCATTAATATTATAAATCACTCTATAAAAATCATTTATGAAAAAAAATCAATAAAAGATGAGACCATTAGTCATCAAACTATACAAAAAAGAAAAAAAAAACAAATAGATGAATTCGGTAAAAGCATTGTTAACTGCTTATCTATTTGTTAGCTTTGATTGACTAAATGACCTTAATTTTAATTGATTTTTTGTAAAGATATCTAAATTGATTTATAACATAACCGGTTTCGATTATAAACACGAAATTCTATGAATCAAACATTGTAGGATGTATTCAATTAGAAATCTAATACAGTTTAATGTAATTATTAACTCACATGGATTTCATAGATTTTAATTGATTCACCTAGAATACAGTGACATTGTTGACCCTAAAAACTACCAAGCCTACGTGGCGCGTAGGCCGAGTAATCTATAAGCTAACTACGTCCTTCGGTGAATGCGGGGAGTGCCAACTCATCGGCTGAGCTCGGCCGAGGAGTAAATTTGTTGATGTTGCGTTGGGTGCGCGGCTGACTTCTGCGTCTTGCGATTGCGGCCAAGAAAGGAACACGTCTCGGCCTCTTGGGCTCTCGAACCTGAAGACAAGATTACTATTCTTACGAAGTTCACGAATCTCCGTCGTCGGATTCGGTCACGGTGATGTTATTCGTCAAAGTAAATTCTCGCCGAATCGACACCAAAGTGTAAGGGCACAAATACTCAAAGCGAATATAAGTCTTAATAGTAAACGTGGTTCGGCCGTCTGAATGCCGAACTCTAAATCCCACTTGGGAGTATCCAATCATAAAATAACTCGGCGTGCAATGCGCCGAGCTCAATAAACTGTAACACCTCACTTCGCCGAGAAGGCTAATGAGACGACCTCAATCAATAAGGATTCGGGAATCCTTCTCGACCGAGACTTGGATAGGTAACCAACCGTCCTCGCCGCAGTGTTGTTGATGCCAACGGAAGGTACTGCGAGACCGGCTGATTCTACGATGACAGAGTTATCTATGCCGACTTAAGATATCACCGGTTGCTTTCACAATGCTGTTGATGCCAACAGAAGATGTGTCAGCGAAAAGAGAAAATAAAATCTCAAAGTTGTTGAGAAAGTTTGCGCAGGACAGTTGTGTGTTGAATTGGAGGACCTTTTGAATGGTCTGCCGCTTAGTATTTATATAGATCTGCATGCTCAAGTCGTGGAAACCAATCCCAATTGTACTGTGACTCTAAGTCTTTATCTGTTGCTAATCCCACACCTTATCACATCAACCAAAACCTACCGTCATCTTGAGAACCTGACCTTCCATCAAATTCGGCTTTCAAATATTTATCCTGATGCAATCTTGGCAATATTCAATGCACTTTGTTGTTTTGATTATGTAGAAAATAAAAGAATATTATTTTATTCTCTACCACATCTGATCTTTCGCATGCCCTAAGAGAGACCATCAAATGCATGCAAGCTAACCTTCTGCCACATCACGTCACCATTTCCTTATCCTATAGGCCAGTGATAAGAATCCCAACTCGAACTGTGTTGTTTGCTTCCAGATGACAGATATAGTTTGCATCCCATAACCAAGATAATTCATGTTAAAAGATAATTATTATAATAAAAATTATAATATTATCTCTTAACAATAATAAAATTATCTTCACTCTTCTATCCGACGGTTGGGAGCTATGCTCACTCAACGGTCTTGATTGCACGGGCCGATAATGTAAATTTGGGTCCAAACATTGCCCCCCAGTTTCCTTGAGCTTCGGCTTGTAAGCCGAATGGTTAAGGAAATTAATTTGCTCTTCGGAGTCACCGACTTCAAGCCCTTTAATAGACCACCTCGACCACCCCTTAGTCCAAATAACACTCCAAGGCCGAAAAAACAATCTCAACAAAGGAAACTACTTGCTCGAAGTCGAGGTACACTCATAAAACCCGATTGTGCATATACAATTAATTTGTGCGACGAAACTACGGTTTGGGTCATGCATCTTCAAGCTTGACTGCATGTAGAATCTAATTGCGTAGATTCTACGACCATGCACCCTTGATGATCCTCACCCACCGAGCCACGCATAACAACATATATTTACCATATGCATTTCAACCACGCATGCTGTCGACTCGGCTGATTCTTCGGCTGCCACCATTTTACCCTTAACGATCCTCACGTTAGTCGTGCTTGGCAAACAGTTGGCCATATATATATAGATACACTTGCCCATCAAGCTGCGAGCACTTGTTGAATAGCTCGGCCTAAAAATCCACCATAACATCGTTCTGATTCTCTCGGCCTCGGCCTAGACAGCCGAAAATTGTTTCCTCCCATAGCATGCGTCGAATGGCTCGGCCGAATAAGAGGGTGTGCCCACATGGAAGCCTACAACCTAAAATAAGTGGCTTTTCATCAAACTTTTGAACCTGCCGTTTGCTTTTGCATGCCATCTTTCTTTTGGCCTATTTTGATGTGATGTCGTAGGCTATATATATATATAGATGTGTGTGTATATATATATATATATATATATATATTCAACGATGATTCACACCACCAGTTGTTCCCGGCTTTCAAAAATGATGACTGAAATAATGATTCACGCCACATCATCTCACAATGTACTCCAGTTTCAAAAGTTATGTCTACATAACTTAGAAAATATTTCTCGACAAGTTGGCCGAGCTCGACCTAAGAAAAAAAACCCTCTCGGCAAGCAACAGCTCCTTTATATGTACTGACTTTCGACAAGTTTAAATCTAATCTGCTGATTATATCACCCGTATCACCCGTGCCCTCTTTATTTTCTTAAGCATCGGCTAGGCAGCCGAATGGTTTAAGGAAATAATTTATTCTTTTTTTTATTTTTTTATATTTTTTTTAGCAAAAGAAAACAAAAGTGGCCGAACTATAAAGTGGAGGAGGCCAACAATGCTTTATTCCAAGCCGAGATTTTTGTATATCAACACAGCCAATCAAATTTTGCATTGATCCGAATAAAAAATGATCTCCAAATATATTTAACTTGGAAAAATATTTTTTATCGGCCGCCGAATGTGTTGAACAATTATTATGCCTCCCATGCACAATAATTTCGCAAATTTCAGTTTTTAACTCGAACAACTTAGCCGAATGGGATTTCTCCATATCAGCTTTATCACCAATAATCATATCAATTGACGTAGTTTTGCCATCTAAAACCATGTCTTGGCCTTGTTCGTCATTGAAGCACTTATCCGACGAATCATTTTCTAAGTTGATTTGTAACTCAGAAACTTGAACTGTTTCTTCTAGGCCTACCATAATTTTAGTCTTGACCGACAAAACAGGTGGCCTAGGTTTTTCTTCAGCCATCTCGACAATCTTCTTAGGCCGAATTTTAATTGTGGCTGGAGTGGAAAATTGCCCCCCGGTCTTTTCAACCAACCATTCACCAAATGGGATTGATTTGTAGTCGAAAACGTAAGGAAAATGATCTCCATTTAGCCATGCATTAAATCGAGCCCTGTCTTCATCTACCCATTGCTCTTGCAGGGTAACAAGAGCTTTTATTCGCAACATGTAAGCGAATGATTTTTGCATCTCTCTAAGGCCACAAAGAACTTTTTCCACTTCCAAAGATCTTTTACGTTCCTCGTCGTGTTTTTCCAATTGCTCTAGGAGCTCGTGCAATCGGCTACGTGGAGCCGGATTGGGATCTTGATATATCATATGAACTTCGTAGTTTTAACACTCTGTCCCACTGGGCGTGCCAAAATGTTGACCCGAAAAACTACCAAGCTTACGTGGCGCGCAGGCCGAGTAATCTATAAGCTAACTACGTCTTTCAGTGAATGCGGGGCGTGCCAACTCGTCGGTCGAGCTCGGCCGAGGAGTAAATTTGTTGATGTTGCGTTGGGTGCGCGGCTGACTTCTGCGTCTTGCGATTGCGGCCAAGAAAGGAACACGTCTCGGCCTTTTGGGCTCTCGAACCTGAAGACAAGGTTACTATTCTTATGAAGTTCACGAATCTCCGTCGTCGGATTCGGTCAAGGTGATGTTATTCGTCAGAGTAAATTCTCGCCGAATCGACACCAAAGTGTAAGGGCACAAATACTCAAAGCGAATATAAGTCTTAATAGTAAACGTGGTTCGGCCGTCTGAATGCCGAACTCTAAATCCCACTTGGAAGTATCCAATCATAAAATAACTCGGTGTGCAATGCGCCGAGCTCAATAAACTGTAACACCTCACTTCGCCGAGAAGGCTAATGAGACGACCTCAATCAATAAGGATTCGGGAATCCTTCTCGACCGAGACTTGGATAGGTAACCAACCGTCCTCGCCGCAGTGCTGTTGATGCCAACGGAAGGTACTGCGAGACCGGCTGATTCTACGATGACAGAGTTATTTATGCCGACTTAAGATATCACCGGTTGCTTTCACAGTGCTGTTGATGCTAACGGAAGATGTCAGCGAAAAGAGAAAATAAAAATCTCAAAGTTGTTGAGAAAGTTTGCGCAGGACAGTTGTGTGTTGAATTGGAGGACCTTTTGAATGGTCTGCCGCTTAGTATTTATAGAGATCTGCATGCTCAAGTCGTGGAAACCAATCCCAATTGTACTGTGACTCCAAGTCTTTATCTGTTGCTAATCCCACACCTTATCACATCAACCAAAACCTGCCGTCATCTTAAGAACCTGACCTTCCATCAAATTCGGCTTTCAAATATTTATCCTGATGCAATCTTGGCAATATTCAATGCACTTTGTTGTTTTGATTATGTAGAAAATAAAAGAATATTATTTTATTCTCTACCACATCTGATCTTTCGCATGCCCCAAGAGAGACCATCAAATGCATGCAAGCTAACCTTCTGCCACATCACGTCACCATTTCCTTATCCTATAGGCCAGTGATAAGAATCCCAACTCGAGCTGTGTTGTTTGCTTCGAGATGACAGATATAGTTTGCATCCCATAACCAAGATAATTCACGTTAAAAGATAATTATTATAATAAAAATTATAATATTATCTCTTAACAATAATAAAATTATCTTCACTCTTCTATCCGACGGTTGGGAGCTATGCTCACTCAACGGTCTTGATTGCACGGGCCGATAATGTAAATTTGGGTCCAAACAGACATGTAAAAAAAAATTGATATGAAATTTGTTATGAAGTTCAATGCATTCTTATGGAATCTAATAGAGTCATTAAGATTTTTTTTCTAGAGTAAAATCTTTATCAAACTCATTGGAATGCAATATGTTAGCATAGAGAAATGCTAATGGGATTCTCTCAAAATGGAGCACTCTATGGATTCTCTGTCACCCCACAATTTAACGTTAATTTTTGTGCCAACATTATAAAATATTGTGTCAAAGCCATGAAGCAAGAGAAATCTATAGAGAGTCATACTTTTGAGGAAACCTCCTTAGCATCTCTTGTTAGCATAAGTAGCCACACACAAGCAAGAGTACTACACTGGATACACTCAAATTTAATTCCTGCACATATTATCTTGTTTGCTAAACTTTTGCCCCTCAAATTGTCATTAAATTTTTTTTTTTTTTGAGCTCTAACTATCCAAACAAAGCAAAATAAAAAATAAAAAACAAAAAACACAATATACCTTGAGACTTTGATCTTCTGGCACCGATGACGGCGATGAAGGTTATTCATCTTCAACAAGAAACTCATCGAAACGACATTCTTTAAGAAGAAAGTTGTGTAATCCTGCACAAGGTAACACTACTTCTGCTTGTATCTTGTACGGAATTGGAAGTGCATACCTAAAAATTGTGAGACGCAATTTAAATATACCAAATATTCTCTCAACCATATTTCTCAAGAAAGTATGACGAAGTTTGAACAAAAAGTGAATTTTCGTTTCCACTAACTGCGCTAAACGAACCATTAGTATCACCCCATCCTTGCTTGGCAGCATCGACCATTAGTTCTAACAAAGTATTGCTTTCTATGGACCATTGTTATAATGTTTGCCCCTTCTTTGTTGTAAATCTCCCCTTCCGAAAGTAGAGGAAGCTAACACCGACATTAATTTTTTAGCAAACAAACACATTATTCGAAAAGTGTTATGAATCGTTGTTAACATATAACAAATTAGATGACAAATCATTTAAAACAAACCTGTATTCTGAGACATGAATTGACGTTAATTTTGGTGGGTGTTGGATGGTAGAGCTTGCAATTTTCATTAGTTCTTCCAATTTCAATGCATCTTCAAATAAATCAATACACATAATTCAAGACGAAGTAAAAAAAAAAAAAAACACAACACCACCAATAAACACAATAATTAGAACCCTAATGTAAAGATTAACAATAGGAGACATAGCAAATTGTGTGTGTATTACTTGCAGAAGAGGCTTTCGGAAGAAAAAGTTGTTCGTATTTTGTAGTCTACTTTGAAGATGAGGAGTCACGTTGAAATATGGAGGGGGTTGCCTGATTTGTGAGAGTCTTTGATATTTATACCTCACCCTAGAATGCATCAAAATCAGCAAAGTTATGAATCCTACAAATTTCCTGACTTCTTGAATACTTTTAGATTTGGAAAATCACTTTAAAAATCTCGATTGAATACTACCAGACTTTGACTGACTTTTTATAAATTTAAATTGAATACAATCTATGTTTGACCGATTCGTTTATAATCTTAACTGAATACCCATTAATTTTTAAACTCCTGTAAGACCTCACATATTCCTAATTGAAAAAACACCCCTAAGTAAATTGAGGAGGAACTCTCTTAAGAAGCCGAGCTCCTCTCTTTTATCTTATCCTTCTCTATAGCCAAGCTCCTCTCTTTTATCTTATCCTCCTCCATAAGCCATAAACATTAGCGGCAGCTCCAAAAAAACGGTTGGATGACATAACAAACGTACGGGCAACCAAACCAATGGCGGATGCACTTCCTTCTTCGTCAACTCTCTCTTTACTCACTCTACCCAGCTTGCCTCCTCAAAACCCAACTAGACCACTGCAGCATTCTTGTTTCATCTCTACCGCCCGAAAGCGTGATCTTGTTCGATGCAAGGCCAAGAAGAAAATAAGCTTGGCAGACCAAATTCTTGATTACATCGAGGGTAATCTTTGTTTTCAAGTCTATCGACCTTGTTTTGATACAGTGTTGCATTTAGAGATTTCTCGGTATGCTTCGGTGTGTTATGTATACCGAGATGTTTAGCCTCTACATCCTTGATCAACGAGGCAATGACCAAGAGCTGACGGACAAAAATTCCGGTGTATATAGTAGAGTTTTCGTGCTTTTTATTGGAACCGATTTATGGTTAATTGGTTGCATTGCTTGCATTATGTTCAAGTGATCAGTCTGTTTTATGTTAATTGTTTGAAGGGGGTCCCAAGTTAAGGAAATGGTATGGGGCACCTGAGCTTCTACCGAAAGATGGATCCGCAGATGAAGAAGATGAGGATGAATTCACAGGTGGATAATTCATGGATGCTTCTCATCGACGGACCTTAAAACCATACATGTCAAAATTTAATCTAGGAATAGTCATGCTTCAAAGTTTTATTTTTTTAAAGGATTTTGATGTATTTTTTATGCAGAAGGAGAAGAACTCAGGGATGCTGTATTGGTAACTGATGGAGATAGTGAGATGGGACAGGTGCATTTTACGGCATTGTTCATTTTTGTGATTAATCATCTATGTTGGTATTGACAATTTGATAAATGTTAACAAGAAAACTAATACTTGGAAAACAGTAGTTAATCCCACACCCATTCATTCTCTCCGTATTCCTAGCTTTTCCGATTCATGACTTCCTGCATTCCGAGTAAGTAAATATGTCATTAGTGATACTGTTGTTTGCAAATATATCTGAGAAACAGATGCCAATGCTGCAGAATAACTACAATCGAATAAGACTTGTTTTCTTAACATTTAAGAGGCAAAAAGTACTTGAAGACCAATATCTATCCTTGCTATTTGATCAAGTTGTTTCTTGCTACTTCTCTTGATTGGCTGGATTTTGAGCCTTGTGCTATCTAGCCTGTGTAGATGGTAATATTGTCATTGATCGTCAAAAGAGCTAGAATAAAAGCGCTGGTGAAGGATAAGCGGGTAGCACTTGAAGCGTTTGGGACTTATGTTGAGGTAGGAGGGAATTAATTCCTGCAAAACTGCCTTGTCCCTTGCTGTTTTTTTGTCTTTCTTTTGGCACTTCAAATGTTGACTTCATGGTTGTGCTTTTGTATGCACAGTCAATGGCCGGAGATTCAAAGGACAAGCCGTTCCTAAAGAGAGTTCTACGAGGAGTTTCCACAGTAATATGCCCAAATGTATGCATATCTAGACCTCGCACCTTTGCTGATCTTGCGAAATTTTAGTATACAAACCGTTCTGAAACTGTTCTAACTTTACAAAACCAAACTTGTACTGAAATCAAATCTGTTCAGCATCATTTCATATATATATAACTTGTATGGTGCAACAGACTAGGAAACTAAAACATGTGAAATGAACTCATACTGTGCAGGCTGATCTACCAGACCGAGATTGGTGTCTTTGTTCTTAAGCTATATTTAGTTTCTTGATTGCCTCAGCGCTGTTGACATGATACATTTGTTGCAACTCAAACGTTGAAAATGTCTTTTAAATTTGTTCTCTTTTGTCAGGAAGGTTTCTTATCTACCGTTGGGAGCTTGAAAGGGGTAAAACATATAATCCTCTTATCTCAGGTACCTCTCTCTCTCTCTACACATGTATATCGACACACACACACACACACACACACACACACAGATATATGTGCGTTTGCATGGTTGTTACTGTGACTTAATAATGAGGTTGCAGTTGTCCGTCTACAAAGGTGCCAATGGCATTCAAGCTCTCATGAAAAGCAATGCAAGAAAATTGGCTGAGCAAGATGAATCAATAATGGTGGCCTCTGGAATCCCTTACACCGTGATCAGAGCTGGCTCGTTACAAAATTCTCCTGGTGGAACTCAAGGTTTTAGCTTTGAACAGGTATAATGTGAAATATAACTAAAAGCTATACATATACATATATAATCAGTACATAAGCATAAAGGATGTGATGTTGCAGTGGAACGAGTTCTGTTCTACTGAATTCTAAAAACTCTCATTCGATGTTGATGATGATATATAGGGAAGTGCAGCAAAAGGAACCCTTAGCAAGGAGGATGCAGCCTTTATTTGTGCAGAAGCAGTTGGTGTAGTCCCTCAGAGAGGATTCATATTTGAGGTAAATAAACACACACAAAATAATTGAATTTTTTTTTATTTTGATCTCTAAATCCCACATATGCTAGTCCACAATACGTAAATGTTTTATTTTGATCGAGCGATAGTTTAATCTAGCTTAATCTACTCAAAACTACGAGGAGAACACAGCAAAATGGGGTCTGATCCGGCTTAATTATTATTATTTTTCTTGTTTTTTATTCAAATTCCACTGTAGTTTTATTACCTTAATTGCTGATAAGTGAAGTGATGAGAGAGTTAATCACTCTTGATGGCACTGTGTGATATTATAGGTGGTGAATGGAGACGAAAAGGTTTCAGATTGGAAAGAGTTTTTGAACGCAATGCTGAAGAAGTCAGAAGAGCAACCTCAGTAATCAGTTTGTCTATTTTTCAATATGTTTTTCTGCTGCATATACAGGCTGCACCATGGAAACTGCATCTACCTTTACAAAAATTATTGGTGCCAGAATCTGTTATATCTTAGTTAATATATTTTTTAAATAAAATTTTAACGGCTAAAAAGTTCAAAATATTGAATGCTATAGAAAATCTTTATGCACCTAGGCCATTTCTAATTGGGCTGGCCATAAGCCAAATGATAGCCCTTGACACGAAATTAATCTCCAATAAAGGTTTGGGCCAAAAACTCTTGAGATCCATGAGGTCGAAATCCAACCATATGGCCAGCGGGCTTGCCGTCTTTAGCTAGCCAGCCAGCCCCTTCAATTGGGCCCAATTGGTTTTTTTTTTTAAGATGAAATTGAAAAAAAAAATTCTAGTTTTTTTCCTATAAATACCTAAGATATTTCTATATTATTTCTCACATCATTTTCACCCTTCCATACCATCTTACCTCATTTTATTTCAATTCTTCACATTCTATCCACCTCAAACACTCTTTTCATACACACCCCTCTCGTACCTTTTCCAATAATCTTTCTTTTAGTTTTTTCAATAATTTTCAAATGGCCACATCTTCAAGTGGCACTCAAATTTGTTCGGAGGCTTATTCATTTAGCGACAAATGACCTCAAAATATGTTTGGAACCTTATTTTAATATGATAGTTTAATTCAATTAACCATAAAGAACAAATAAAGAACAAACTTAAAATAATAAATACGGTCTGATACTATTCATTAAAAAATAATTTCTTGCAAAGCTATAATCTGGACGACGGCTAAACATAACCCCTTCGGTTGGAGATGTTTTTAGGTCATCTCCAATGAAGAGGGCTAAAGGTCCAAAATCCAAAAAATGACATGATTTGTCCAAAAACTCATTTCTAGCCAATGGCTGGGCTATAATTCTATGGAGCCCATTAGACCATTATTTGGCCAAAGGGGCATCGGGCTGGCCAAATATAGCCTTCTTCTTAGCCTTTTTTTGGGGCCAACTTCTTATTCACAATAATTGATTCAAATTCAAAAACTAGATTTGAAAACATCCAATGGTAATTTAATTAAATTAACTAATAAATTTAGAGTATAAACTAAAACTAATAAATTATTAAGAGGGCTATGTTTAGCACATTCGGTTGGAGGCAATATATGAGTATGGCCTAACATTGTTCATTTTAAAATAATTATTTGCAGGACTATAATTCTGGGCGGGGATATATTTAGCCATTTTGGTTGGAGATGACCTTATGAACACACGCACAGACTTTGTTTGCATATGCATAATGTGGGGTCCATATGTGACGAGGGTAGAATGTTGTCAAGAAAAATTATAGGGACAATCTGCCTCGACTTCCAAGTATTTTATGCATGTTAGGCTTAAAGCATCCCCAATGGGGGCTTTATCCTCCATGAGGTTACCACATTTTCAGCCTGAGTGAGAAGTTCATCCCTAATGAGCCGGAAAATAGGGCTAGATCTACCACTTGGGCTAGCAACTTCCTTTCTTAGACCATCTCCAACCCATTGGATAAAGTTTAAAATATAAGCTTTAAAACTCTCCCAAACCATCTCCAACCATTCGGCTAAATAAGCCTTGGGGAGAAAATATATCTCTAGACTAAATTCCTCCTAGGATTTAAGGATTGCTTAAATCATTATGGACCCATCAAACTATCATATTTCAACTTTTTTTTGTTTTTTACTAATAATCTAACAGCTATGATCAAATGAGATCAAATCTAATGGTAAAAAAAAAGATTTGACTGCGCAAAATTAAATCTAATGTCTAAAATAATTTAAGAAAATTATTTAAATCAAATATAACATAAAACTTTATAAATGCCTATGTATTTGTATGATTTTTAATTACTTATTGGAATGTAAATATTTTTAGATGAAAATGTTCATAAAAATAAATTAGGATAATCTACATAAAATTAGGCTACATCTAGACCCAAAAAATAGTGGGTCTCACAAGAAAAGTAGCAACCCATGTGAGCTAAATTCTATCACTCTCCCCCACTTGCAAATACATTTATACTCTCTTTTTATTCTTTTTTCTTACACATTTTCTTGCAATTTGGCTAATTTATGATTGTTTTAAATTCCATAAGAATTAAAATTTCAAATTGATTTAACATTCAACGACATTGGTGGGTGAAATTTTCAAATTTTTTTTTTCAAAATTGTATGATACTAATGTACTTGTTGTGTGGTACGTGAAAATCAAATTATTTCAGAGGGTGAAGTGGAGGTTTGTATATTTAAACGGATCAAAATGAGATAAGAGAATCTAATCTAACGAACGGTTCATAAGTGATGAAATCTAAGTTTTTCATAATTTGAACTTTTTAAGGTTAAAAGGTTCATAATTGTTTTTAAGATAACACATCCAAAAATCAACTTAAGATAAGTTAATACAAAAAAAATAAATCATTGCATAATCAAATTACTATATAAATAAATATATATAGCCCCATATAGAGTCCAGAAGAAATAGCCCCTCATTGAGAGAGATTTTTTTATAAAGCTCTAAAGATTTCTCGGATCTCTAAAATTGGATCCATCACTTTTCTAGCTCCATATAAAGCCCCTTATTAGGGATCTCTTACGAGCTAACTTTTAACCATTGATGCATTATGGCACTGATGAATAACTTTTAGTCGTTGATTCAATGTAGAAACAACGAGGGAAAGTCATCCACTACATGATTGTCCAAGCACTGCTTTGATGACTAGTTTACTTGAAAATTGAAATTAGGAATAGAAAGGTCGGCAATACAGGTTGTGGATGCAAATTTCCGTCTTCTTCTTCTTGGACAAAATTGCACCTACAAAACAAATAACACCTTAGGTCAAGGCCAAGAGCCTCACGCGCTCACGATGAATTGGGGGGGTGCTTTGGCCGAAGAACCTCCGATGCCAAAGTTAGAATTTAAGGGAAAAGTGTTTGGAGAATTTAGAGAACTTAGCAAGAGTGTAGAACTTAGGTTTTTAGAGAAAATGGGGTAGTATATATAGGGCATGGCCGGCCTCATTTGGAGAGATGGTAATCAGCCCTTTTGTGGCATTTTGGGTGTAATTGATAGTTAATTAGCCAATTAATAAATTAATTAGGTAATAAATCAATTAAGCTAATTAATATAATTTGAAAGGAATGTTTTGGGGGTTACCTTGTGGAGAAAATTTGATGAGGATGGATGAAGGTTTTGAATAAATACCTATTTTGGGCACTTTTGACTTGATTGTGGAATGATTGTTCATTGCTCGTGCGTAGGAATTTCGGTGTTCCTCGAGAGTAATTTTGTCATTTTCACCCTAGAATCCACGTGTCGTCTTTTGATTATTTTTGGCTCCACATAGTTAACAAAGAATGGGTATGAAATCAACTACCTCATTCTAATCCTTCTAAAGATTTTAGGTGTTAGCTAATACATGGAAGTTAAAAAACAAAATAATTCCGAAACTCATTCTAGGTAATTATACATGTAATACCACATGATTCTCGATGTATAGGAGAGATTTTTCAGTGTATCACAAGATGAGGCGGTACATTATATGTTATTATACAATTAGAGAAAAGTTTTTTTTTTTTTCAAGTGCCCCTCCTATTGTATAATGACATATGGTGTTTCGTGCCGTATTCCAGACGCACTGAAAAATCTCTCATAGTATGGGAGCAATGTTTATGTGGGCCTTGGGACACATAAATGTGTTTCCAAAATCCTCTAAGATTCCCAAAAATTTAGTATCTGTTGGATAATAGTTTCGTTTTTTTTTGTTTTTTAAATTCACTTTCTGTGTTAGTGACTGATGGAAAATATATAGAGGAGACGAGTGATATATAAGAGTAGATGAAGACCGGCGAGAGAGATCTAGAAGAAATGCAAGAAAATGCACACAATGAAAACTGAAAACAAAAAAAAATTGTTTCGTATCCTACTTGAATTCAACTTTTTTAACTCAAAAATACTTTTTGAGTTTTAGGATTTGAATTCTTATTTGGTATGAGTCTTTTTAAAAATTGGATTAAAAACTAATTTGAAAACATAGTCCATTTCTTAAAAACACTAAAAAGTTTTTAGAGTTTTTCTCTCCCAACCCTCTCTTTCTTCTCTCCCCACTTCACACCTTGTATTCTCTTTCTACTTAGCCTTTGTCTTGTCTCCCTTTCCCATCACCCTCTCTTTCTCCTCACCTTCTCACAGTAATTTTTTGGGACTTGGATTGTCTGCCCTCCTTGTTGTGGTGCCCTTCCATACCCTCCTATTTTGTGCGGTCACGGTTAAGCCACGTTAATATTTTATATTTTTATTATTTTTTGTCTTATTATCTCATTAAAAAATTAATATAAAATATTGACGTGGCTTAACCGTGACCGCACAAAATAAGAGAGTATGGAAGGACACCACAACTAGGAGGGCAGACAATCCTTGTCCTTAAAACTTTTCCTTTAAGTTATATGGACCCCACACGCATCGTCCTCAACAATGCCATTCATGTCAAAAGTAAGACGCATCATAATTACAAACTCTTTGGGAAAAAATAGATATTTGCATTACTTCAGTTTAATGCTTACACCAATGCTAAAAGTCGTTCAGAAACTATGCTAAAAAGGAAAAAACTTCATTAAAATGTAATGAATAATGTTAGGGAGACCACAAACTAAATGATGTATCATAATAGGAAATAAGCACTTAATCAACAGTTGAGTAATAATCCTATCATCAATATCCATGTCATTTGGTTTAGAAATTTTGGTATAGAAATTTGGGTTTAGCGACATCCCTAGCACTACCCTTATGCAATTATCCACAAAGGCCTACCACATGAGAAACTTTCAACAATGAAGACGCTAAGTTAGCGATGTCCAAAATCATCATTGTCACCATGCGTTGTGGATATCTTACATAGCATTGCGCGATTGATTTGGAACATCGACACCTTGGTGTCCTCATTATTTGTAAGTTTTTCTCCCTTCGAGAGAGAGAGAGATTTGGAAAAGTCTTTTCGGTAGACTTCTTTCTCCCAATGCACATCCTTATTTATTTCTAGCATTTAGAAAGTATAAATCCAACAAAAGGCTAAGGATACCAAAAAAACAGAGGTGTGCAGTAGCATAAAACGGGTGTGCGGGAATCATTTCCCAATATTTAAAAGGAACAAATACAAAGTTAAAACCTTAAAAAGAATAAGGGAATCAATTAGAAAGAGAATATGAGCAAAAGGTAGCCAATCAAGGTTGAAACCATTTCCATTCCACCACTAAAAAAGAATGAACAATTGGGCCCTACATTTCTATTGTTTGATCATCTTTCTGTCCCTTGAAGTGCTTTCATATAAAACTAATCAACAAAAGTAAAATTTCAGGACTGCTTTCTTCTATTTATCCCAAAAGCATACTCACTATGTAAACAAGCTCAAGGAATTTTACACAGGAAACTTCTCTAAACATACTAAGTTTGCTAACAGAATATACCAATCCTCCATTGTTATCCTTAACTAGGGAAGGGACACCACAGGAAATATTTTTTTGACAAACATGGGAAAAGAATAAAGCAGGTAATCGAAAGTTCCCCACAACAAACAGATAATATATCCAAAAATGATTATGAAAACCATCAAGAAAAGATAAAAACCAAATCAAATGTCGGCTTGATAGTCTAGAATAAAAAGATCCAGAGAGATCAGCATATAGATCTACCACCCTTTTAATGTTGTTGTTAAGCTCTCTAATTAAGCCAACATTCCAGCTGAGGTTATTAGGGATCATCAACTCGTGGTTTTGGTTAATCTCGTTACTTAGCAACCGGTTCTGATCCAAAATGTCTTGCACCTGCACAAAGCTCTTCTGGAATGTTTGCACAACTTTGGTCTCTAGTTGTGTTCCATTTCCTATACCTGTAAACATACCACCTTCCATTTCAATTTGGCTTCAATTAAAAATAATCCTTGCCCTGCATCAGAAATAGTATTTATGATAAAAATTAGCAAAACAATCAAATTTTTTTTCGGAAAGTTAAATTGATTCATCGCAACTGCAAACACTTTCCACATAGAACGAAATGAAAAATGGACTGATTAGCACAAAATTTGTAGGGTAAGGAAGAAAACAAGGTTTCAAGCCCAATTAATAACTCAATTACCTTTTAGTTTGACCAAAATTAAGGTGAAATTTTTTGTTCTTTTATATTCTTCCTTTATTTTCTTGGGAACCAAACACAAGGATACTGATATGTCTGCACATCCACAGGGAGGGAATTCACATAGTAGGAAAAGAAAAATCAAACTTGGGACCTTTATGACCTAAAAGCGTATACCTTTTAACTTGTAAAGAAACCCTTTTTTCCTTCTGTGTTTTCTGAACTAACCAAATCAAAGTATTTGTTTTTAATTTCTAATTGGAAAAGAATCTCAACCACAAAAGACCCCAGAAACCTAATCAATGCCCAAGAAGAGTATTTCACTAGATAAATAAAAAACATTTAAATTAAATTAAAAAACAAAATTAGTCAATGAAAGCAGATGCAAAACTTTCCTTGCAGAAAACAACAAATATCTAAATTAAATTAAAAAAAAAACAAAATTAGACAATTAAAACAAATGCAAAACTTTCCTTGCAGAAAACAACTTTGTATTGATTCTAAGTCTTTGCAGAAAAACAAAAAACAATAAGTAATTCCCACACTCTAAAATAGCAACACACACACACACACATATATATCCAAGTTGGTGAGAAACTGAAAAAAAAAAATTGAGCTTCCAAAAATTAGAAATATGAAGGATTTTCCAGAATTAAAGCATAACCCAGAAATTTAAACAAACCAGAAACATCTTGAAGGTACAAAAGCAAATGAAAGTGTAATGAGAGAGAGGTAATTTTCCCAAGAAAACAAAAAAGGAAAGAAATTTTCTCGAGAAAGTGATGGAAAAGGAATCGAATTTTACTTATTTACAAAAGTGGCGGTGCCGACAGGCCCAGAAATCATAAGAAGGAGAAGCATGAAGCAGCAGGAGAGGATGATCTTCTTCTGTAGGCGAGATTTGATGAGAGAGCTACCCTCTCTCCTCCCTCCCTCCCTCTCTCTCCACACTCTCTCTCTTCTCTGTGGGTGAGTATGTGACACTCTATTATCTCTGTGTGTGTAGGAGAAGGACAATAGTACAAGGGCGAATCAAATCCAAGAAAAAATGAATGGGTCTTAGTTGGTAGTCATAATTCCTTAAAAAAACCCTTGAAAATAACTCGCTATTTTAGCACTAATGATAAACTAATCATTTTTTCCAAGGCTAATCAAACAAATTAGGGATCTAAATTCTCTTCCCTCCTATTTCGGTTGCCCTCCCGTCCCCTCCTAATTTTTATGTTCAAAACATTCACCTCTTGATTCAACGTTCAAGATTTTGTCACGTTAACAACAACAAAAATCATTATACTTAGACAAAAAGGAGGGAGAGAAAATCTGGCTCCGTTAGGAACTTAGGATGGTGTCCAACACTAGAATTAAAAAAATTCAATTTGTTATCCATCCGATAATTGGTATCATACTAAGAAAATGATGTTTTCAATCGATGCACAAGTGTTAGATATATATTTTTTTGGTGAACAAGTATTAGATATTTTCAAGCCTAAAAGTGATAGAACTTTTTAATTGGTGCAGAATGCTTACTATATATTCTTTTGAAGAAGCAATAGGTAATATACTTACTATCTTTTTTGAAAACTCGTTTCTTATTGACATGTAATTTGCCCATAGAATAAAATCTCGATAAATGAATGTTTGATAAATTAATAATCTTGGCTTCAAATTTCAAATTATACATTAAGGGTGTTACATTTTACAACACAATTAATGCTCGAACCTACTAACTCCATCTTTTGGAGCATTTGGTAGATTCATTTGAACAATGAAGAGTCATTGGTCTTTTGTGTCCAAGTGCACATCTTTGTATACATGTTTACTTTATTAAATCTCTTTACGGGCCAATGTTGAGATTGTTATGTCTTTTGTGCACGTGGGAACTTATTTGACAAATAATTATGTTATCTTAAGGCCATTATATATACAATCGTAGTTCTCGGGGGCTCCATTCGCCCTCTTTCTTTGTGTAGAGGGTAGTCCCAATCTTAATGCGTTTTAATCATGCCAATAACCCAACTTCCCTAATTAAATAATTTATGATAAGTGGCTTCTTTACTTTTGCCTTAATTTTTGCTCCCACACCTGGTCTCATCTTGTCCCATTTCTCATTTGATTTGATATTCAAAATAGTCAACTTTAGCCATTTAGTACTACGATCTAGTGGTATTCCTTTTCATTTGTAAGTGAAATGTCTTAGGTTCGATTCTCACCAAAGATGGATTTGAACCACATTATTATGACTCGCCCATTGTGAGGCTTAGCCCACATTCTTATCCTTTTAATGTAAATGATATCGTTTGTTCACAAAAAAAAAAAGTCAACTTCACTGTGTTTCATATCGCTAGTTTCATTACTTTTTATTTTGTGGTACATATGTGATAAGCCATCCTTACTTTTATGTTTTTATTAATTTTTAAATGAGTGAATTGACGAAAATGCACTAGTGGCTAGATTGTTGACTCTCGTTGACCTCCTTTTGTGACGCATACGAGTTACTATTTTCCTGTATTCTCGAAGTACTCTACGATACGAACACATAGGCGCAAATGGAACATAATTTAGAGCCATAACGAAGGAGTTATTAATGAATGAAGTTATCAACGAAATGGTCATTTAATCATAATCTGGAATGCTCCAGAAAATCTGGAAGCGCCACGTGGATGGCTGTGATGGAGAAAGGAAAGAGATGGATAGCATGGATTGAAAGAAGAAAAAAAGGAAGAGAAAAATGAGGGATTGGGGGCTGCCCAATCAGAAATAAGGGAGGAAGTGGGAGGCTAATAAAAAAGAAGAGTTTTGGGAGAGAAAAGATAGGGAGGTTTGGCGAATCAGGAGAGGAGAGAGGAAGAGAAGGATGATCAATAGGGGAGGAGAAAAAGGAGAAATGTTGTGTTCCTTTTAAGTGCAAATACAAGGATAGTATAATGGTAAAAGTAAGGGTGTCGAACCACAATGACTGATTAGAACTCTACAAATTACTTGTTTTATGTGAACCTTAAAGAAAATGCAAATGAAAACTGAATTTAGATTTTTGTTTTAAAAGCTAAAGTAACTTAAAATGCAAGATAAGATAAAGATGAATGATAAATTGATTTAGAAACAATGGGAATGGAACTAGGAATATCGATTTCACCATTACAAGCCGATTTAATGAAAATTAAGTCAAAACGCATTCAACTCTCCAATCTGCAACTAGGGTTCGTTTTACTCATTTATGATCATCCATTTGATGTGTGGTTGTGATCAAGTACTCCTAATCTGCAACCTAGTTGTGATGTTCAACTTAGATTGCCAAATAAGAATCCATTAAGAACAAGAAAACTTCAAAGAACCAAAGAAATCACATGGCAGGATGTATACATAGCAGTTTCTTCATTCATTCACATGTCTACCAAGATTAAGCATGATGTGTACTATAACCTTTATCAAATAATCTGTAAGAAACCCTAATGGTGATCAAACATTAAGATAAACAAACAAATTGAACTATGAAATCAGTGAATGAAACAAAAACACAAATTGGTAGTTTGGATACTTTAACTTAATAACATAGAATAGTTTTGCAAGGCTACATTGAAATCCCCAGCTATGAACTTAATTACAGAACATGATTACAGAATATATAAATATCAAGAATAACATGAGTGAAATTAAAGTTCATAGAAGAAACCCCCTTAAAGCAATTCTGATGTTGAACTTCTCCAAGAACAGTGCGGCTGCGTGGTTTATTTGGTGGCAGTGGATGGTGAATGGAGAAAGGATTTTGTTTCTGGAAGAAAGGCTAAAGAAAGAGAAGACAGAGAGCTCTGGGCGACCCCAAGGGGAAGCTTATGTAAAAGTGGCTGAAATGGGGTGTGCTAACCACACACCCCAAATTACTTCCCACACACCCCTTGTTAATTTCTGTCCGTTGATCTTCTTTAATTCATCCGATCCGACGGTCGAAAATTAGAAGGGTGTGTGAGAAGTAAAATAGGGTGTGTGGATATCACACCCCGACTGAAATTCTCTGTTTTATAAGGTTAAAGAGATCGTTATAGAATGCCAAGACATCCTAGTAATGGAGCATTTATTTCAGACGTTTTTTTGTTGTTATTAGTCTCTTAAAAGGGCCATATTCATTACCATATTCAATTTCCACTTTTAATTATTTGTCTACATCAACATCCTTATTCAATTCTCCACTTTTAGCACAATTTTGCCTTATATGTCCTCAATTGAGCTCTAAAATACGATTAGCTGCACACTAACACAAAAGAGACTAGGAATTGATGATATAAATGTATGAAATATATGAGTTATCAATAAACATGAGGGAAATGAGGAAATGAGAAAACCACGGGATTCGGGTGACCCGTTTCCCCCCTCATCGTGACCCGGTTGCCCGACGAAAATTCTGGCGTTCTTTCATAGTTTTTCAGGTGAATTTCACCAAGCTATCATCGCGAAGAACGGAGCTGTGGGTTCCGGGGACACCACGACGGCGATCCGCCTTATTCTGAAGGCAATCATGTCGATCTCCACCACCATTAGACTCTCTTTGAGCCTAAGAACAAATCCTAAACAACCTTAGGGGCGGAAGAGTTTGAGTGAAATTGGGGTTTTTCCCGGCCAAATTAGACTTGGCCACATGTATGAAACTTGCTCCACTCATCGAGATCTACATTTCTGTGAAATTTAGTAATTTTTTGAAATAATTGAATTTTCTGGCGAGTCGGGGCGGCTAGCGGTGCATGGGCAGAGACACCACTTGACCTCCTTAGGCTAATATTGATGTCCCGATTCCGTATTAGACATCCGATTGATGAAATTCCATTGTTTGGTTATATTTCCATTAAGGGCCTCTACTTGGCTATTATATGATTCGACGATCCGACCATTGGATCATCACTAAACTTTAATACGTAATAGTACATCCTATGTAAGAATATTAGGAACTGATGGATCAGAAATCTAACGTACGGATCTTCCCGGATGAGTTTTCTAAGTTTGTAAATCTAAACGTTGGCTGCCACTTAAATTTAGCGATTGGCGGAGATCCGATCGTTGTATCGTTCCGAAACTTTAGGATGTTCTAGAAGTTTATTGAAACTCTTAAGAAGTTATGGATTGGAAATCCGAGGTACAGATCTTCCGGATCGAGTTACGTAGGGTTGTCGACCCTACCGTCGATCTTTGACTGACGATTAACTTTTGGTCAATGGGTTACAAATCATTCTAAAATGTCCTTGAGGATGTATTTAATGTAAGTTACGTGTTCTATCGATAAGAATTATGAGATGTGATTTGATATTTGTTCTAGGCGACGATCGTATGTAATGCCTCGATATTTGTGCTAGGGAGCTATAGTGCAGACTTTAGGTGAGTGGGTCTTATATATATATATATATATATATATATATATATATATGATTGATAGTTTCCATTTATGCATTTGAAAAAGAATTTCTTACATACGCCTGCATTAGACTAAAATTTATAAGCATTAGCGAAATGACGGAATTTATGAAATTATTCCGGATCCTGCGGGATGCCTTAATCCAAGTTACGGCTTTGATGAATGTTATATTGACTATAAATTATGGAATATGCTACATCCTACGAGATGCACAAATATGCTTGTAATCTTTGATGTCATAATTATATCTACAACTATCAATGTTAGTATGTTAATTAGAACTATCGAATCACTGTGGCATGACTATATTTGTGTTATCTGCTCATCTTTTGCTGCACCAGTTATTAGTGCTCGCCCAAGGACATGACCAGTCTATGTTCATATTCGCACCGTACACTCACCTAGGATCCAAGTAGGTGCTAGTCCTGTCGTACATGTTGCATTAGGCAACTTCGACTCGTATGTGACTGCGAATAGCGCTAGTCTTCATGTGATTGTAGCACTAGAGCATATATCATTATTACACCCAGTCCTGTTCATGTCAGAATAACTCTGCATGAACTCGTGTCAGCATGTGTCGATGAGCACTTGGTTTGATATGTTTGCTTATGCGAAAGTATACGATTACTAACGTTATGCACTTATATATAAACTATTATGCCATATTGATATCTTGATATTTTGCAGGTTATGGTGAGTATTTTCATACTAT